ATAGATGTGAGGATGGTAAGACTGGGCCTGACATTTGCAGGCAAGGATACTCAATTTACACAGAGCTTCGGCACATCAGTGCCAGAGAGCAGGTTTGAGTAAAAATGTAAGTGAATACACAGCCTCCTTGATCTTCTGAACATGTCATGCCTTAATATTGACAAATCCCAACAAAACCAATCACTTCAATGAGGCCAAGTGAAAATTTGGCATGAAACAAGGATAATGCTGCCCTCCTACATCAAATGTTGCTAATACTTTATGGCAATTATCACAATCATAAACTGGTACTTTACAATCTGTCTTAGCAAACATTGAATTGAAAAGCAAAAATCAGTATCTTAAATACAGATGGTTTTCTGACTGTGGAATGCACAATTAGATGTTGTTTAGACGTGAGCAAAGCCTTTGACACCGTAACCCACAGAATTCTTCTGGAAAAAAACAGACTGCTTGTGGCTTGGATTGGTACACTCTTCACTGGAGCTGGGAAAGGGTCTAGAAAACAAGTCTGTGAGAAGCAGCTGGGGGAACTGAGGGTGTTTAGCTTGAAGAAAGCTCAGGAGTGACCTTATGACTCTCTAACAACTACCTAAAAGAAAATTGTACGGGAGGTTTGTCTCTTCTCCCAAGTAACAAGCAACAAGACAAGAGGAAAAGGCCTCAAGTTGCAACAGGAGAGGTTTAGATTGGATATTAGGAAGAATTTCATCACTGGAAGGGTTATTAAGCACTGAAACTGGCTGCTTGTGGCTGAGTCACCATCCCTGGAGGTATTTAAGAGATGTGATGTGGTGCTTAGGGACACRGTTTAGTGGTGGMTTTGGCAGTGCTGGGTTAAYRGTTGGACTCGATGGTCTTAATGGYYTTTTCCATCCTAAACAATTCAATGAATCTAATTATTATTCTCTGATATTATTATTCTCTGGTCCAATTCTTTAAGACTTATTGAGGAAAGGAGTGAGTATTGATACTATTTTCACATAACCATGACGTTTTTATTTTCTGTCACATCTATGATGATTTATAGAATCCATATACAATGCACAAAATATGACCTAAGGCACTCTCTTTATGCATCTTCTATCAAGCTCARTGTGTCATATTCTTGGCAGCCCCATATCTTTTTTATTGTGCTCATATAGAAAATCTGGGCTTCAGGAGACTGTGGTAGTTAAAGCCTGTCCCCTGTTTCAAGACAAACTTACACACAGCTATCAGTATTTATATTTCTTCCAGTAGTTATGAAAAACAAACAAACTGAAAATGAAACCTCATCAATCTTCCAAAGCCATCTCTTCCTGTGTGTTTCATAATCCTTTGCATAATGGCACCAAGCCCTCCATTATGGAAACTAGTTTATTCCCTTCTGCTCCCTCACAKCTCTGTGTTGTGTGCATGTGTAGGCTGTTATTAGAGTCGAGCTTTCATTAAGGTGAAGACACCATTTCCTTGTAGGTTGTGTATCCTGAGCCTTGGACCCTTCTTACAGCTCTTTGCATTGTGTTACTGTTTCACTTTGAAACACCACTCCAAAAACTTGGCAATATTTCCCAAGAGACCCAACCAGTGTTGAGTATGACTGGAGGATTTCAGGATGGCTTCCTATGTCTAGCAGACTATGCTGTTGTTTATGTAGTCCAAAAGGTGATCACCTTTATTGCAATATTGTGACATTGCTGATCCACTTTCAGCTTGTTGTTTGCTGTAATCCCAGAGTTTCTACATGCACAGTGAGCTGGAATTCCAAAGGGTAACAACACAGAGGAAAGCAGCAGCCTGTGCAACAACTGGCCCATAAGGATGTTAGTCCTATCTGCCCAGAAGCAAGGAAGGCAGGGAGATGAGTATCTCCCAGAATTGCTGACTGGACAACTCTCATGTGTGATCTTGYCTCAGGTCTGCCACAGGGTGTGTTTGTGGTGCCTGTCAGGCTGAGCAGAGGCGTGAGTGAGATGTGAAAAGGGTTCAGGCGAGTTGTAAAAGGAGAGTGTAGGAGGAAACAAGGAAAATTTGTAGAAGAAAGATTGCCAGCTGTTGGTAAACTGTGGTCTTTTTGACTATCTTCCTTGATCAAATTCTGATATGCTTCTACTCAAATTTCATTATTTCCAACAAATATTCTGCTCTGACCAGGGGGATCTGGTTTGAGAGGTCAGGTTACCTTAACAAAAATAAACCATAGAAGTCCATGAGAGGCCAGGAGCTGGAGAAGGTATCATCCAAGTAGTACTACAGCACCAGCTGTAGTAGGGAGATGAGAACAGCTTCTCTACTGCTGACATTTGATCTAACCTGCCCTGCCTTTTTCTGTTTTTCTTAATGAATCTTTCTATYATCCATTGAACAGTGATTTGCTCCTTGAACAGTCTTAGTAATCCCCAAATTTAGAGGAGTACCTGGGAGTTAATTTTTTGAGGGCAATAGAGTACGAAGCACAATCACTGTGAAATTGAAACTTAGCTTCACTTTTTTTCTAAGACACATTGCCCTTTTTATAAGCAAAAGGCCAACTTCTTAAAGAATAAATAAGGCAAAGTCTGTAAAAAAACATTGTTCAGAAATTGTGTGCTCAGCTTTAGATGAGCTGCTTTCTGAAAGAGGAGAACTGTTTCATGGCCTTTGTTTTGATTATGGCAATTTTTTAGTGTACAGACATACAGATTCCTCCATACCTTGAAAAATGTTGGAGCTTGATGCTGTTGACTTACACCTTTGTTTATTTTTGTGTATGCACATTAATCCATTAAAAAAAAAATCAAGGGAGGCTTCAGATATTCCTCTAGGGAAAACATGAAGTTTTCTAGGAGTTGGACTTTGGACATTTCAGAATATAAGGAAGAAAGTGGCAGTCCTGTATAGAACTGGAATGTGTGTGCCTATGTTTACAAGATCAAAGTGGTGCAGTAAGCACTGTTGCTGAGGAAAGGATGAAAAGCAGGAAAAACAGGACAAAATCTGTATTGCAACAATTGCCCTCCAAGCTAGAGGAGCGGGAACGTACATGATGCAGATCATTCATTGCTCTGGCCTTCCATAGAGATGCACTGGTTTCYACAATTCAAAAAAATACGTAATGAAGCAACTGTTAGTAGCAAAGCCAGCCTAGAATAAGCTTTTTAACTGGAGTTGCAATTGAAAARAGAACAGTATGTTCCCTCATTTTCCAACAGATTGCTTATGATGAGGAAAATACTCTTTCACCTTGCTAAGAAATAATCACACTATTTCAAGAGTCGATTCAAAGCTATCCTTGAAAAAGAAGAGGCATCAGGTGCCATTTCTTATTTTGAGCTGTGATTGAACCTGTGACGGTCAATAATGACAAATGGYCAGAGGAAGACGAAATTCCCAAACTCATTACCAAGTCCCATCTCAGCAGAGTCTTGATGTATTGTAGCACTTGCCAGCCAACACATACATCTTCTTTTACTCTTTGGCAGTTCTCCAAAGGGTTTTTTTTTTTGATCAATAACATACAATTGCACTCACTTCAGAACCCAGCTGTGAGGGTGGTACTCTGTGAGGGCACCCACAGCTTGGGCCAGTGTGCCACCACCAGGCATTGTGTGGGGCTGCCTGTGGCATCGGTCGCTCCACAGGACTTTCTGAACCCCTGAAGTGGAAATGTTGCACAGGTAGGTGAGTGGCACAACCTCTGGCTTTCCAGAGGGATGTGGGCAGCTGTGGCTGGCTCATGGCATGGCACAGGGGAACATGGTTTGCCCACTCCATGCTACCACTGTAACCCCTAAASCACTAAAACCATCACCCAGTGTCAGATCCATACATCTCTTAAATACCTTCAGTGATGGTAACTCCACCACCTACCTGTGCAACTTATTCCAATGTCTGAGCACCCTAAAAGAGAAAAAAATCTGAATCTCTTCTGTCTCAGCTTAAGGCCACTTCCTCTAGTCCTCACTGTAAGCAAGGGCAGAAGAGACTGGCCCCATCTCACTACGACCTCTTTTCAAGTAGAAAATGCTCCTTACTGTGTCCAGTTCTGGGCTCCTCAGGACAGAAAAGACATGGAGCTCCTGGAGTGGGTCCAGTGGAAAGCAATGAGGATTGATGGGGGA